GAACGTTGAAAAAGTGGGGATTTGGAAAGAAAGGGAAAAAAAAAAAAAGGGAAATGGAAAGGTGAGTTCCGATTCTGAAAAAGTGCCAAACCAATTTCAGGGCACCGCAGTCTTTTGTTTTCGAATCTCAAAAGAACCGAGACTCTGTCACGCTTAAAGTGAGCCCGCAACAGCGCATGGGAATTTAAGTTAATCACCGCTAACCCGGGTCACCGTGATTTGGACAGTTCTGCTCTACAATCCAGATCCAACCTGTGCTTTTGTAATTGGCTTTCCACATAAATCGATGCTCAAAATGAATCTTTTCCCACCTGGTGCCCTGTAAACGCCCTTGGACTACAACTCCCACCAGCCACAGCCAAGAAGGTTAGGGGTGATAGGAGCTGTAGTCCCCTATGGGAAGAAAAGCTTAATAGTAAAGAGATAGACAAACAAACAAACAAACAGCTAGAGGATATTAGATTGTGGGAATTCAATTAAATCATGGGCTTTCCCCCTGACATTTAATTTCTAGATTACATCCAGATCATGTTTAGTAAAGAAGTGGGGTAACTCTGCCTCTCCTCCGATGTCACTGGGTTCCAGGTCCCATGAGCCCCAAACAGCCTTCAAGGAGTGATGGGAGTTGAAACTCATCATAATCCGGAACCTGAGCTTTTTCTGAGGCTACACAGTGACAAGATCTACCTTTCTTCCCAACCCGTGGGCTCCTTAAAGAATGTGTCACCCTTCCTGCCTAGCTTGACACTGTCCCGTTTAATGGCTGGGATGGTCATTCTCCCCACGGATCCTGCTCTTTTTTTGCTCCCAAGTATCTAAACGGCAGAAGAAAGTGGCGAAACCACCATTGGAAGCCCAAGTTTGCTCAGCTCGCTTTTGCAAACAACGGTGCATGACAAAATATGGAATGGAAACACGCAAGGCTAACCCTAAACGGATCTCTTCCAAAGAGCACCTAGCACCGACCCTTAACAAAGTTTGTGTCTGTCTGTAACAGAAATTTTTCCTTTCACCGGCTGGTGTGTGGAAGTCAGGATGGGACACCTATGCTGTGGCAAAGCAATTTTAAAAGGCCCACACTCCCAACATGTTCAATAAGACCACAGATTGTGGTTTCCACCACCTTTCCACAACCCTGTCTCTGGCTGGCTATGACACAGCTTTTATCCAGAACTTGAAGAAGTGATGTGGGTTTTGAATTTTGATTCTCTCCCCATGCTTTTTACCCAGTCAAGCTTGCTTTGTGGATCCCAGAGGGCAGAGAAAAAAAATCCAGGGGGTCAAGAGCAGTCGAGAGAGAAAGGGCTTAGCGCACAGTTTCCATATGGTTCATTTCCCTGTTCCCACACAATTGCATCTGATTAGGTTCCCAACAAAGTTGGACAAGAAGATTGAAACAGAGGATGCAGATTTGCATAACATATCCACAAATACAGTGGTGCCCCGCAATACGACAACCCCGCATGATGAAATCGCTTGACGATGACTTTTGCGATCGCTATAGCGATCGCAAAACAATGGTTCCTATGGGGTTTTTTCACTTTACGTCGATTAGGTTCCTGCTTCGTGAACCGTTTGTTTGCAAAACAATGATTTTTCTGGCTCTGCAAAATGGCTTCCCTTCACAAAATGGCTGTTTTCTGGACAGAAGCTTTGCAAAACAGCGATTTTAAACAGCTGATCGGTGGTTCAATATGGGCGGTCTTCGCTGTACAATGAGGTATTTCCCCATTGGAACGCATTAACTGGTTTTCAATGCATTCCAATGGGGTCTTTTTTTGCATGAAGACGATTTCGCTGTACAGCGATTTTGACAGAACGGATTATCGTCATCATGCGGGGCACCACTGTAAATATACAGGTAGATGTGAATGATAAAAATTACAGCCATTTAAAACAGAAACGTAATATAGCTAGTCCTAATGGGGAAGACGGTGGTCAGGTGACCCATGTGCCTGCTTGTCAGGCCAGAAAGCAGAAATGTGTCTTCTTCAAACTACAATTCCCATAATCCCTCCCTTCTAAAAGTTCTTTATTGGAGAACCACTGTAGCGCAGTCACGGATTGTGACTCGAGGGCTCAGATTCCCATTCGGCCACAGAAAATCAGGCCAAACCAAATGTCGTTAAAACCCTACTGGGGTCGCCATAAACTGGATGTGTGGCATTGACACCCAACAGAATCTTGCTGTCTTATTTTTTTTTTAGTCTTTTAACGGTCGTAGGATTTGCCGTCCCTTCAAATCCGGACGCTGCTCTCTAAATCAGGATTGTGGGCCACTCTTTCGTCTCCGTGACATCCGGACTGGCCCAGAGGCGGACAGGAAAAATGCCACAACCCCTCTCTGCCCTGTCGCAATCCATGTGGGAAACTGCGCAACAGAGGGATCCATACCAATATCAAAGAACAGAAAATGCAAACAGCGCGGGGAACAAATGCACTCCTTTAAATTATGAATATAACTCTATTCCAATTATTTTCGAACATTCGGGGAGACAAGGAAGAAGGCACTCTCCCTTCCCCACGCTGAGAAAAAAATAAAATAAAATTAAGGGCCGTTTCCTCAAGTCCTCCCTGGCCATTTCTTCTTCTTATGGTAACAAAGCAGAGCTTTACGAGTTCCCTATAATAAACTAGTTTCCCCCACTGGCTGCATTTCTGCTTTCTCCTGTTTGGTTTCGCACTGCAAAGTTTACCTACATCATCTGCTCCCAAGGGAGAGAGGAACTCCACTCCTCTCTTTCTGTCCAGCTTCCCGAAAACGTGCTCGGTGGGTCAGGCAGGGTCGGTGGCACCACAAACCGGTACTGTGGCCGGCTGAGGCCCACGACCCCCCCCAGCGGGATTTGGGTTTTGGACCCTGGAGCCCCATTTCTCTCCCCCCCGGCTGCCTCCACCTGAGCCCCCCTGCTTTCCGCCGTGGGGTGCATCTCTGGTGATCCAAGGGGCCGAAGTGATGGTGGAGGTGCTCAGAAAAGGGGGCAGCCATCCTTCCACCAAGCCCTTCCTACTCCGAAACCCCTCATCCCTTCCTGTTCAAGGGGACCAGATCTGAAAAGACCACCTTTTGGTGCTCCGTCTCCTCTCGGCTCGCCATGTGGCAGCTAACGTCCTCCTTGCGTGCGACCAAACCCTCCAGGCAAAATCCAGACCCGCGAAGAATGCTCAGCGACCTTACAGCTCCTGCCTTGCCTCCGTCCCCCACAACGCCTGGGGATCATGGTATCCCGGATACAAGCATTTCCCTGCAGCCAAAGCTCTGGATGGCCGGCTGCCTTTTTTGCGCTCCCGGGCTAGGAAAACGGAAACGCGGCCCCTTCCTAAACTGAAGGATCGTCCTCAGCACCTGCCTCCCCACCCCTCAGCACCAAATCCTGATGGGACCCCCAAAGGACACTTCTTTCCAACGGCCTCTGAATGCGCCCTTACTTCAACGCTGCATATATTTTGTAGAATATCTTAATATATCTTTATATCTATGTATCTATATATATGTATTTATAGATAGGTCTCTGAACAGAGTTATCTATGGCTTCGTCATGACTATTTATTTTTTTAAATTTGGAAGAACCAGTAAGACAGGTACGGAGGAGAAAAGGGGAGACGCGGCCATAAAGCGCTCGCTCACGCACACGGGGAGGGGAGGGCCCTCTTCTGAGGCCGTTCAAATGCTTAAAGATCTCTTTTGTGTATCGCTCTGCGCACCTTTAAAAATGACAGCCACCTCCCCACCACCCTTGACAAAATGAAATGAACAGGCGACGCAAGTTTCACATGCTTTTAACACAGTTTAAAGAAAGTCGATGTAATAGCACCTTGATCCGGGGGAAGGCGGGGGGGGGGAGAGGGACGGACGGATGATGAACGGTTCATTTCGGCCCCCTATAAAAACAAAACCCCAGGAGATATCTGGCCGCGCGCGCCCCCCTCCGCACACAGCGCAGCTGCACCCCAAAATGCCTCTTGAACTCTCATCCATATCGTAGGTGTTGAAATCTCATTTTGCCTTAAAAAAAAAACAAATCAAAAGCCACCCTTGAGTGTACTCTCCCCCCACCCACCACCCCCACTTTTTATTACAAGACAGGATATTAGTTGGCTGTTGGGAAAAAATGGGAGCATCCTCAGTCCAACAGCACGAGCAAAAAAAAATCCACATTACCTGCTTTTATTTATTATCATGAATAGTATTTCCTTTGGGAAAAAAAAACTTGTTCATTTTATTCCACACATTTCCAAGACTCTGACACATTATAACAAAGAGAGAAAGAGAGAGAGAAAGAGAGAGAGAGAAAATGCAGAAGGACGGACGCGGACCCTTTTGTTAGAAATAATTCAGAGATGGGGGGATTCGGGTGCTGCGGCCGCCGTTCCCCCCCCTCCTCTTTCCCCGGTCCATTTAGGGTTCTGCAGAGAGAGGTGGGCTTGGCGGCCGTTTTGCCTCCGGTGGGAATCTCGGTTCCATTGCATGGTGCCGGGGAGCTGGCAAGATCGGTGGGACCCCCCCATTTTCTTTCCACATCAGGAAGTACTTAAGCCCCTGACAAAGAGGGGCAAGCGAACTCACATGTGCACACATGGCCACGCAAGGGGAGCAACGTCCTAGCTTCGAGCGGCGAAGCCCGAAACCAGGTTGTGTGTCCCCCCACACTCCGCACGCCCGGATTTCATCCTTCTTTGGAAGCATCCACCCCTCTCTTCCAGCCGACACGCAACCGCACGGCGACTCGAAGCAAAGGGCTTGGCGTTTGCCATTCCGGCTTTCCACACACACATCCCAACCCCCCCAAAAAAAACTCAGTTTGCGTTTGGAAACAAAACCGGACACACACCTCCGACGACGACCCTGCAGGTCGGGGCAGCCAGGTGGAGGAAGGGGGGAGGTAGGCCCAGTAATCTTGTCACTTTGATTTGACTGACATACGTATATATAGATATATAGATATATATGTTTGTGTGTGTGTGTGTGTGCTTTCCACGGAGTTTAGACAGGAAAGGGCTGAGAAAAAAAGAAAGGAAAGCACACACACCATATATATTTATATCCATATCCATATATATATACCCTGTGCTTCCCAATCCCCTCCACCCACTTTTTGCCAGGGAAAGGCTGAAAAGTAAAACAGGAACAAGCAAACGGACGTGGGGGGGACGGAGGACGCCCCCTTAGGGTCTCCCCGGCCGGAAAGGAAAGGATGCGCCTTTGGGTGTCCTCCCCTCTCCAGAAAGTCAGAGGGGTGTGTGTTTTCTCTGTGTGGGTCGGCCGGGTGTCGATCTCTCGTTTCCACGCAGGGACGGGGGGGCGGGCGGAGAGGGGGGCGGCCGAGGGGGGAGGGAGAGAGAGGGGGGGCTCAGACATAATATTCCTTGTCTTTGTTTTTCTTGCTCTTGCTGGGCGTTTTGGCCGCGGCGGCCGGCTTCTCCTTGACCACCGTGCCATTGCTTTGCGCCGAGTTACTGATGTAATTCCGGCTTTGGTCCACCTGGTAGGAGCCTTCGTCCCGGTTACGGTATTTGTACATGGCGTACAGCAGGATGAGGATACAGAGGGCTGCGGCGGCCACGATTCCCACCACCATGCCGGTCGTGCTGCTGGACTCCCGGATGACCTCCACGGCTCCAGGGGGGCCCCGCTCCCCGGGGCCGGTTGGGTTCACTGTGGGCAGATTGTGGAAATTGGGGGAAGAGGTTACACCGGGGTACTTAAACCTGTTTAGCTTGTCAGGTTCAAAAGAAGTGGAGAAAGGGGGGAACTGTTCTGGGTGGGGCTTGAGGGGCTCCCGGTTGTTCATTTTGCCGGCGGGGATGTTACGGACCAAACTGGGAGAAGTGGTGGAGGTCAAGAGGTCGGGGATGGAGGGTGACGCCGGCAGTCCTGTCCTAAGGTTGGGACGATATCCGTGGGCCTTTTTGGACGCTCCTTCGGGCCGGCCAATTAGGGTCCTATCCGTGACCAGGGGGAAAGTGGTGTAAAAATCTTCGTCGTCGGTAGGGGGGAGGCTGGAGTCGAAGACCTCGCCGGAGGCGTAACCGGAGGCCTCGATCCCCTCTTCGCAGTCGCTGTCGTCCTGGTCGGCCAAGCAGGGGGGCCTCGGATGGGACGGTAAGGAGAGGGACTCTTTGGTGGTTTCGACTACGGTTAGGAAGGGGCCGAAAGTGGGAGGCGGGGGGATGAAAGGAGAGCGGGTGGCAATTGGAGGGGTGTCTAGTGAGTCTTCGGTTATTATGGGTAATACTAATTCACCTCCTAGAACAGAGAGAAAAGGGGAAAGAGACAGAAGGGAGGGGGGGGAAACAGGGTTAGTGACCACGGCGAGACTCTCCGCCTCTGACACAAGACAAACTGAAGTCACATCTTAACAGCTATCGCCAAATCCCTCTGCTCCCAAATCCCTGGCTCTCCTCTTGCCTTTGCCAATATATTAGTCTAGAGAAATCATAAAACCAAAGGAGAGAGAGAAAAAAAATAAACAAATAATATCAAATAATAATAAAAGAATTTAAAAAGTCATTTAATGCGCAAAAAATTAAAACAGATAAGACAGCAGAATTAAGAGCAATCACACCCTCGCTTGCTGAGCCTCTTCCCATCCTCTTTTTGACTAAAGCACTCATATTTTTTTTTCCTTTTCTTTCCTCTTTTCCCTTTCTGATTGTTCTTTTTTTTTTTTGTTTAAAAAAAAATAAGAGAGCAAACCACGGAATTCAGTCAACTTACATCAACAAATAGGCCGTGTGATATTAGCATGAAGAAAAAAAATTACAAAAAAGAAAACTAGGTAAGAAGGTTTTTTTTTCGGGAGGAAAAAAACAACGTTTTTCTTTTGCTTTGCTTTACACATCTTTCTCTGTCTCTCGCTTTTTTTAAAAAAAGGTCTCCTTTCTCTCTAGATTCATTTCTGTTCTTTTCTTTCCATGACTGGATTGTTTCAAACCCTCCCTTTATCCCCCCCCGATCCCCACCAGTCAACCCTTTCACCCCCTTTCTTGGTGGGTCCCCTTTCTCATCCTGCCCCCCCCAGCCCAGCCCCAGCCCGAGATTCTGAAATGATCGTTCCAAAATCACAAGAGCAACCTGCCAGCTCCAGATCTTTTTTTGTGCTTTGCAAATTTGTGCTAGCAGGGGTGGTGATGGGGGCGGAAGTGGGTGGAGATAGATAGATATTTATATATAAAGTCTATTTTTCTTTTAAAAAATCATATATCAAAATGACTTTTTGTACCAAAAGCAGATCAGAATTCTCTGCTGCTGGTGGATTGGGACAGGATGATAGTTAAAATGGCAGTTGTCACAACAATTGTGCAGTAAAGCTTCACGGGAACAGAACCCGGGAATCCGAGCCCTCCCCACCGTTACCTCCCCTCCCCATCTCAGGGTCTCCCTCACCCAACCTTAACTTGAACCAAGGCAATCTGTCTGCAATGTGAAATACAGGACAGTGAAATACAGGAGAACTATAGAGACAGAGATAATTCGTAAATTCGTAAACGAATACGAATATCCCAATTGGAGCTGCGCCTAGTGCAGGTACGGCCCCCGGAACCGGCCCGTCCATTTACGTGTCCCGGCACCAGCAGCGTCCTGCTCTTCCCGCCCATCGTGGAAGTAGCTCCCCCATCTCCTCGCTCGGCTGGCCACTCAGCAGCCAGTGCAGGGAGACTCGTCCTCTGTCTGGAGTGGCCAGCTGAGCGGGGAGACGGGGGAGCTATTTCCACGGTGGGCGGAAAAAGCGGGACGCCGCCAGCACGAGTGGACAGGGCGGTCCCCGGGGGGGCGGTCCCCCACGAGGGGCAGCTGGGACCGGCATATCCGTATTCGTTTACAAATACGAATATCCCCATCTCTAAGAAGAACCTTTAGACATGTGCAGAGTTAGGAGAGGGGGCGACTGTTATTTTATTTTTTTCATTTTTCTGTGAAGCAGTGTCCGTGATTGTGATGCAAGGATGGGAAGACTCCAGGAAGGGTTGCTCCCTTGAGGGAGTAGGCACTCAAGACACCGGCTCTCCCCAGCGTGATGATTGTGCATGCTGCAGGAAAACCTTGATGGGAACCAGAGTGGCTCGAGGAGGGGGCTAAAAACAAACATACACGCCTCTCCGTCCCCCAACACCAAGAAAACGGTTTTATGTGAAACGCAGAGTGTGCAGATGTGTGCACAGCCGTGTGAGTCTCTTGTGAGGGAACCCACAGGAAGTTTTAAAGCACCTTAAAGAGGAACAGGGTTTTGTTTTTGTTTTTTTCCTGGCATCAGCTTTTGTGGATTGATGTTAAGTGGGGTGCCCGAAAGGCTATGGGTGGATTGCGCTAAATGTGGACAGAATCAAGATGTTCATGGAATGTGGAACATGAGTTCTGGTGGGGTGTGTGTGTGTGAGAGAGAGAACGATAGATAGATAGATAGATAGATAGATAGATAGATAGATAGATAGATAGATAGATAGATAGATAGATAGATAGATAGATAGATAGATAGATAGATAGATAGATAGATAGACAGACAGACA